CCATTGCCCAGCTGAGCCGTGCAATCATCAGAGGCCTTTTTTTAATTTTTAAAAGTATTTTTTCTACAACCTCTTCGGTCAAAGAGGTTATAGAAAAAATGCTTTTAAAAATAAAAACAAAGTCTCTGCCAATCAGGCAAGTCAGCTGGGATCGTCAGAGGCTTTAAAAGCATTTTTTAAACAATCTCTTCAGCCGAAGAGGTTGTGGAAAAATGGTTTTAAAAGTTAAAAAAAAAAAGCTGGCCACGCCCACTCAGTCATATCCCCCCCACACAAGCCACACCCACGTAACCGGTAGTAACAAAATTTACATTTCACTACTGCCTGTGTGGACCATACCTGGCCCACGGGCCGCCAATTTGACAGGCCTAGCATTAATGGATGGCTGTTTCAGAATCTTTTATTAATACTATAATATTAATATTATAACATTTCAACACTAATGCTTTCTTGAAAATGTCTTCTGCAATTTTCTTCCTTCACTTAAATGGGGAGGGGGTCAGAGAATGCTTTCCTCTTTTCAGAGGAAAAGAAAGATTTGGTGAAGTCATAAGCCATTTTAAGGTCTTCATAAATATCCTGCCACAAATCTCTCACTTCTCTTCTATTCCAAAGAAAAGCCATCTAGACTTACGGCAGTTGTGTTGTCAACCTTCTCCTGCCATTTTCCATCTCTGTTCAAGCATACCTTTCTGAGCTATAGTTATTTCCTTTCTGTCCATTGGGAACAGCTTTTTGAGTGAAACTTCAGGAGGCCAGAGCTTCATTTCAGCTTCTTAGCACATCACAGAGAGCCTGAGCTAGTTGTTGCCTTCTCTTTAGATAAACAGCTTCAAAGGAATCCCAGAATAACAATAAAGGAGATTAGGAATTGAAGAGTTCACAGCTAGACCTAAGGAAGGAAGCAAGCAAACCAACACACCAACCAACAAACAAGGACTATTGGATTGATGGTGGATTTCCATCCCTTACAAAAGATTTGGATTTGGACAAACCCAATGGCCTATGCTTTGACCTTTAAAAGGGTATTTTTGGGGGGGATTTATTCCACTCCCTCATTACCCTTCAAATTAGCCAAAATAATAGGATGATTGTCTATAATGCATGGTGTAATTTGGATTCCAGCATTGACCAGGAAACTGAATTTAGTTTAGTTTAGTTTAGTTTAGTTTATTAGATTTGTATACCGCCCTACTCCCGAAGACTAGGGCGGTGAACAGCCATGAAATATCAATACTAGAAATAAAACTTAGATAAATGCTGAACCATTTAAAACCCCAATAATTTAAAACCAAATTTAGTGCTTTACATAATTTCATAGAAGTATGGGTTCGAGATTCCCCTCTCTATTCTGCATAAAGTGAAATAAAGGAGAATATCTGTAGCTCAGGGCTGAAATGAAAGGTCCTTGGTGCTCTTTGAGCTTGATTGTTTTCTTGTAAACTTTCATTACCCAAACTAGGGTGCACTGATAATGTTACCTATTTTAGGTAATGAAATGTCTTCAAGAAAACAACCAACCTCAGAAAGCACCAAGGACCCCTCATAAAATGACCCTACACACATAAGAGAATTTGAAGATTAAACCTTAATTGTAAATACTTGACTAATTGTAATAGATCTATACTAAATACAAAGAAATCCCATTATTTTCCAGTGTCCTTTTGGATTCAATGAATACACACCCTTAACTCCCACTTGCTGAATTGTTGTATCCTCCACCCTCCAAAAAAAGCTTGGCAAGTTTTGGCATCTGGCTGACTGTGTGACTAATGTGACTTATTTTTAATGATGATGATTGAAAAAAATAATATAATAGACAAATGATTGGATAATCAAGTATCTAGAAATAACATGAGTCAGAAGAAACATCAGAAGTTTTGTGCAAAGATCAATGGCACAATGGAAGACACTGTTGCTGATGAATGGGAACAGACTGGATGAGGTTAATACAGTGGTGAAATCCAATTTTTTTTTACTACCGGTTCTGTGGCCCTGGCTTGGTGGGCATGGTGTGACTTGGCGGGCGTGGCAGGAGAAGGATACTGAAAAATCTCCATTCCCACCCTACTCCAGGGGAAGGATACTGCAAAATCCCCATTCCTTCCCCACTCCAGGGGAAGGCTATTGCAAAATCTCCATTCCCAACCCACTCTGGGGCCAGCCAGAGGTTGTATTTGCCAGTTCTCCAAACTACCCAAAATGTCTGCTACTGGTTCTCCGAACTGCTCAAAATTTCTGCTACCGGTTCTCCAGAACCTGTCAGAACCTGCTGGATTTCACCCCTGGGTTAATATCAAGAAAGGAATCTTTCAGGGATGTTCATTATCACCAATAGTGTTTATTATTGCACTATTTCCTTTATCAAAAATACTAAACAAGTCAGGCCACGACTATCAAAAACATCTGCCAGGCAATCCCACTTCCTTTATATGGATGTTCTGAAGCTATTTGGAAAATAGAATTGCTGCTCAATGCTATCCGTAAATGCAATGGAATTTGGACTGGACAAATGTGCCACCCTTATCAACAGGGGAAAAAATACAGTAGTGAAAACTGAAGGAAAATAAAATGCCCTGTGGAAATAATACCAAGAGTTTGGATGAAAAAGATCCCTAGTCATCCTTCAAGCTGACAGCATCAAGCACACTGAAGTCAAGGAGAAAGTTAGAAGTGAATGTATCATGAGAGTAAAGAAGATGTTAAAGTCCAAGATGTTAAGAAGAGGGAGTCAAGCTATTCTCCAAAGCACCCGAGGCAGGACAAGAAGCAATGGGTGGAAACTATAATCAAGGAGAGAAGCAACTTAGAACTAAGGAGAAACTGTCCTGACAATGAGAACAATTAATCAGTGGAGCAACTTGTCTCCAGAAGTTGTGAATGCTCCAACACTGGAAGTTTTTAAAAGATGTTGGATAACCATTTGTCTGAAGTGGTGTAGGGTTTCCTGCCTAAGCAGGGGGTTGGATTAGAACAGGGGTGGGCAATTGTGGCTCTTTTACAACCTGTGGATTTCAACTCCCAGAATTCCTGAGACAGCTTGGCTGTCTCAGGAATTCTGGGAGCTGAAGTCCACAGGTTGTAAAAGAGCCACAATTCCCCCCCCCCCCCCGGACTAGAAGACCTTCAAGGTCCCTTCCAACTCTGTTATTCTATTCTATTCCAAATTCAGTGGAGGTTATATTATCAAGGCAATTAATACCTGTGCAATTCCAAGCATTAGATACACAGCTAGAGTAGTGGACTAGTCTCAAGCAGAACTAAAAGCTGTGGGTAGGAAGACCAGAAAAATAATGACAACGAATCATGCTCTTCGTCAATGCAGCAATATTGACAGAGTACTTACCAAGGAATACAGGTCAGCGTGGAATGTTGCAAGTACACCAGACAGTTGAAGACCAAAAAAAGAGCATTGGAAAAATATTGGAAAGAATTGAATAATTTTTGAATACTGCTACTGAAGCTAGTATATCTTTAACACATGATAACAATGAACACCTGTCTATTCCAGGTCCTTGGGAAGGACTCGAGAGATAGATAAAAATGTCAAATCCAGTCTAAAAATCTGACCGATCATGCAACGAACCATAATAATAAAACTCAGCTTTTGCAAGCAGATTGCACAAACTGGCTATAAATGATACGATGCATACAGCTGCCCAAATGATTCACTGGAACATCTGTAAAGATTATCAAGTGCCAGCAATGAAAAACTGGTGGGAACATATAGGGATTGGTTTAGTTTAGCATTAAACTTACCAAGTGAAATCATTATGAGTTTATTAGTCATATTTCTATGCCGCCCACTCTCCGAGGACTCTGGGCGGCTTACACCAAAGACAGTATACTAAATAGCATATTACCACCAACAATCTGGGTCCTCATTTTACCCACCTCGGAAGGATGGAAGGCTGGAAGGCTGAGTCAACCTTGAGCTGGTGAGATTTGATCCGCTGACCTGCTGAACTAGCAGTCAGCTGAAGTAGCTGCAGTACTGCACTTTAACCACTGTGCCACCTAGGTGCACCTCAGTTGTGTACCCAACTCAGCTTTGAATTGGGTACGCAAAGTAATTATTTCTTCCAATATTATTATTTCTAAATATATTTAATAGTCAGGATTAAAATAAAAGGATGCATTGATGAAATATAAACATTTACCACTGCAAGTTCAAAATCTTTATATCTGGCTGTCATGGCCAGTATATAAGTAGTCAATGATATATGACCACAGTGGGACTGGAATTTCCATTGTAAGTCATTGTGGTTAAACATCACGTCCAACCTGATTTTATTAAGATTTTTATGATTGTTAAGAGCAGGGGTGTCAAACTGAAGGCCCACAGGCCAGATCCGGCCCTCAGGGTGCTTAAATCTGGCCCGCGAGACCGGCCTGGAAATAGCAAAGGACTGGCCCGTGGTGCCTCTGGCAGCCAAAATGGGGTGCAGCCCATTTTTGACCTGAATGGCATCCTGCAGCACTTTGCCAGCCAAAACGGGACGTGGTGGGACTGTGCACGCCCCTCCCCTCCCCCCGCATCCCATTTGGCCGGCAAAGTGCTTCGTCTCCCCCTCCCCCAACGGCCCACGGAGGAGAACTTACAATGGTGAGCCCTCGAAGAAATCCAGTTTGACACCCCTGGTTAAGAGAACCAACCTGGTCATTAAGTGAGTCATGTCATTAAGCAAATCCAGCTTCCCCAGTGTGCACTTTTTTGCCATATTTTGCTGGAAATTTGTGAATAAAAATCAGTAAAAAGGGTCACAGATCGTGATCAAAAGATGCAGCAATTGGTTGTAAATGTGAGCCAACTTCCAGGTGCCTGAATTGCAATCATATAACCATGGGAATGGTGCAACAGTTATAAGTACAAATACAGGTCATAAATCACTTTTTCTGTTATAACTTCAAACCATCATTAAACCAACAGTCATAAATCAGGGACTGCCAATATGAGATAGATTATTCCCATGATATAAATTCTCAGTTTGCCATTGCAGTTCTTCCTTAAGCCCCAGAGGCTCGCCCTTTATTCTTTAACTTTGGGTTAATGGTACACCAGTACTGAAAGTTGTACTAAGTCATCCTCTCCTGCTGGCCAGGCTTTTTGTAAAGCTATTTTCTCAAATTCCCCAAATCATTTTCTGTAGACTCTTTCCAGCCAGCTACTTTGCAAGTCCAGTTTGTATAGGTCTGCCTGAAATAAAGTAGAAGATGAAGATTTAGACAGTTTGTTGTTTCTGGAATTGGAAGTTCATTGTTAATGCTTCCAGTATAGACAGCAGTGGTGGGTTGCTCCTGGTTTGGCCTGGTTTGGGTGAGCTGGTAGTGGTGATGATGTGACATCAGTGAACCAGTTCTCTATGACTGTCCCCGCATTATAACTACTTTTATTTGTTGTTTTCTAGCCCAGCTGATAGGCAGAGTGGATTGCTGCACCTCAGCTGGGCAGAAATCTAATGCACTTGCAAGTTCACGGCGATCGCAAAGAGAACCGGTGATAACACCGGTTGGAACCCACCACTGATAGACAGCTATTAATTCAAATTACAAATTCAAAATTCAACTTTCCTTTCTCTAAATAGTGACTGTTGCTCTTCTTTATTCTAAAAAATCAGTGTTCAGCAAATTCTGACCTGGTGTTGGAAACTTCATATCTGTAAGCCCAGCAGCTACTGCCAGTGGCAATAAACTCAGTCTCTCCCTCTCGTTTTCTAATTGCTGGGCTTGAGGGCAGATAGGATGAAGTTGATAACAGAGAGCTGATAAGAGAGAGCTAATTCAAGGCTCCCATAGGTAGAGTTAACTTGCGATAATGAATGGGTAGAGTAGCTCCTTGTGGAGTAGAGCCAGGGTTAGGGTCTAAGCTGGGGACAGCTGATGAAAATTGTTTCTATGGTTGTTCAGACTGATCCTAGGAAGCCAGCTGTAATAAATCATCAACTACAGACTTATTCTCCAAATAGTTATGTGACATTTGCACTACCTTGACATTTTTTAATTTGTAATTTTTTTTGTATGAATAGAATAGAATAGAATAGAATAGAATAGAATAGAATAGAATAGAATAGAATAGAATAGAATAGAATAGAATTTTTATTTTTATTTTTTTAGTTTTGGACTAGACCACTTTTTATTTATTTATGGGGAGTTTTGTAGTCTCAGAGATTGGGTTTAGCAACATTTCCATGGAGGAACAACGGAGAAGTAAGATGTTAAGAAACTCCATTGCAGCAGTGACTGACTGCAAGATAGATTTATCTGTTTCAAGCTTGCTTTAAGATCAATTGTCATTCCTTGGGGAGAAAGTGTCAAACAACCGAGTTAAATCTTCCTCGGCTTCCAAAAACTCATCTGAAACCTGTACCTTCCCTTTAATTGCATCTAAGATATTTCTTTCCCTGTGTTCTTCCTATTCTGACCTTGAAGTTGAAGGAGTTCTCCGTTTTACAGATAGTGGATAGTTACGTTTAGAAGCTCTAGAGCTTGTACCGTCCTTCGCGTGGCTTGGCTCTGCTCCCAGAAATTAGCAAGGGCTGGATACAGCTGTTGTTAAATTACACATATTGGCAGAATGTAAAGCCTCCTTAAAAAGTTCCTAAGTTTGAAAACTTGAGGGAAAAATAAACCGCCTGAAAGTTAGCATTATCCTTTTAGATCTATGCCTGCTCGGAAGCCAGGAGATTTCTTTAAGCTCATTAGAGTATACTTACAGAACAAAGAAGCTGTGAAAGGGAGTTTTCTCTTTCATTGCTTGTTTATTTTTATTCTGCCATCTACCCTCATTTGAAAAACCACCAAGCAACCTGAATTAGGATCCCCTGTCTCTAAAAAATCAGGTTTTCCTCATTTTTTTCTGAGAATTTTTGTACAGTCTGTACACTGTACAAAACATGGGTTAGAGGTAGGTTTAGAAACATATGAATTGCTATTTACTTCCATAACCAATTGGGAAATATAGTTTTCCACTTTAATTCTAAGACTTTAATTCATCTCTTTTTTTTTTATTGGCACTCAGAAACTGTTCAAATATAGCAACGACTTGATCTGTTAAGTTCTTAGCAACCAAATCTGAATCTCCATTTAAATTACTCCTAATATAAATGGCACCATCCTGCCTATTAGATCCTCATCTTCATAGAAAGGGCAATCATCCCAGTCTAATGATAGATAAGAATTATTAACCAAGGTTACAGGGAGAGATGAAGAAGGCAGGAAAGACTTTCATGTAGCAATGAAACTGTCAGGCCTGGAAGCCATCTTTTGCATTCAGACTTCAGGCCTGCCACATTTACTGTTGTGGGAAACTGGAAGGGGGGATTGTATGGCGCATGGGTGATATGTAGTCATAATAGCATTCCTTTCTCAGAGAGTCAAGGTCATCTTGCCCTGCACCTGGAGGATTGTGACTGGGAGGCATCTCCAGTTGGCATGGTGCTTTGATTGGATAATGTAATGAACATGTGGGTGTTGGGCAGGGACTTGGACTTTCTTTTGGGTGGGGAAAACCTGGAAGCTTTCAGATTCGGATTTTCCCAGATGTGCCAATATGACATCTCAAGTTATATTTATGTAGTTACTTACCAAGCACATCTAAGTTATATTAAAGTAACCAAAATATATTTACCATCTCCAGGGATGTCACAACTTTTGAGCACCCCTAATGTTTGGAAATTGAAAGGTGAAAAATTTGATACACCCTGTAGCATGCTTAAAAGTGGAATAAATCATTTACCCTTGGTTGCCTAGAAGTCATCACAACCTTATCTTATTTGGATTTTCCCTCTGTTGCATCTCAGACTCGCTTTTGGATCTTTTCAGCTTATTTCTTACTCCTGCTTTAAATTTTTACCATTTCCATTAGCATTTGAAATTGTGTACAAAACTCTACTATATCCTCAGATTTTAAATCTACTAGATTAAAAGATTATATAAAATAAATAGAATATTTGGAGCTGTCCCCCTGTCACCATCATGAGGTGACAGATTGTTGGGGACAATATGGTGTGGAATAGTGACAAGATTTGCCCGAGTCCCTGTATTCCATTTCTTAATCTTTGGAATGAAGAAAAAATGGAAGAAGTCAAAAAGCAGTTTCATAATCTCCCTTCCCATTTCTCTTTCAAAATCTCTGCCATGCATCTGCCCTTCCATAGCTAGGGACAGGCTTTTCCTTCATGGGCAGAAATGAAGACAAAACAAAAAAAATGTTGAAGTCAGAATCCAGCCAGAAAAAAACTTAGGGAAGGGAGTTGCATTCCTTTTCTTTAAGAGGGATATTCTCCATACATAAAGCAAACACACTTATGTTCACATAATAAATCATACTGTTGCCTGAGTCAACACTATATTGGTTCACACAACCTGTTTAGATGACAGTTGTGGAATGTAGTCACCCAGGAGTCAGGGAGTACATTCTAGAGCAGGGATGTCAAACTCGTGGCTCCTGTTGTTGTCACGTGACGTATCACGACCAGCAAAGCTGGCTGAGGAATTCTGGGAGTTGAAGTCCACAAGTCTTGAAGTTGCCAAGGTTGGAGACCCCTGCTCTGGAGGATAAATAGGACTGATGGGCAGGGACAATGAGAGGGATCTTTACTAAGTAACAGATGCAGGGGAACCAATCTTACTCTGATTTGCTCCCGTGGCTCCCTTTTCTCATGATCCGTGACTTGCTTTTTTAAACCGTGTAATGCAAAAGCATGCGGCTTCCCTGGTCCTTTGCACAGTCTTTTGTGGGATGAAATGTAATACATAGGAAGAGAATACCAATGCAAAGCTTTTAAGAGCTGAGTGAACTCTCTTTTGCTTCTGTTTCCTACTTCCCAAATTTGCCATCTGGGCTGTTTGTTTGTTTGGTTTAAACTATTCCCAATCCTAAGGGTTCTTTGAAGGCCAAAGAGAAGGCAAATTTCAGTGTTTCCTCTGAATTCGTTGCCAGGGGCTCTTATCCGCTCAGGTTGTTTTATGGCGTTTTTGCCATAATGATGGTATAGGTTGGCACTGCAGTTTTCTTGTAAGGCCTCGTATGCGGTTTTTGTGCCTTACTTTTCTGTATCACGGCAATTTGGGCAGACTGACATAGGGTATAATTTTCATTTTGTTTTATTTGGCATTCTGCTTTTATTTAAAGGGAACTCAGATGCACAGCTTCTCTCTGGGATCTGTTTAACCTTGTCTGAGTCTCCTAGAAGGAGGAAGTTTCAAAAGTTGAATTTTAGATTATCATAAATCAGTTATATTTCTTGCCTGCCTTTAAAAACATACATACTGTATTGTTCAGAGTATAAGACGCATCTACTTTCTTTGGTGAGGAAAAAGAAGAAAAAGAAATCTCCCTCTGCCTCTGAGCAATTTTGCCTGGTTGCAGCAAACAGCCTGCTTTACTTTCATTTTTGTTTTCAGCATAGCTTGATTAGCACAAGGGAAAAAAGATCTTCTCCAGCAATTTACCTCTTTGCAGCAAGCAGCAGAGCCCTGCACAAAACAGCTGAGAGCAAATCAGCTGAGAGTCAGGAGGCCGATCCAATCAACTTGTGCTAATTAGGCTGTGCTGAAGCTGAAACGAGCTGTTTTTTCTTGCTGTTTGCTTGCAAGGAGATAAGTACTGCAAGGCAGAGGCCAAAGGGTGGGGGCCAGTGGGTGGGTGGGGCTACATTTGGTGTATAAGATGCACCTAAAATTTTCACCCCCTTTTAGGGGGGGGAAAGGTGTGTTTTATACTCCGAAAAATACAATATATAATCCTAAACCACAGTGCTTTAGTTATGCAGTTTTCAGACTGAGAGAGAAATTATCTCCTAAATAAGATACATTGAATTGTAACTTCCATTGTCTCTGAGTATGGTTGATCTATAAAGTGTCAACCAAGAAAATCTAATTCCTCTCTAATATCCTGCCCCAGGAAAAGACACAATAAAAGTAGCTGGAATATTGTTGCATTAACAGAATCCTTTCATAAACATTTCTATCCAGCTAAGAAAAACTGAAAAGAAAAAAATAACACTGAAGAGACATTCTAGTTTGGTAGCGGAGCAGGCAAAATGAATTACCGTATTTTTCGGAGTATAAAACGCACCTTTTTCCCCCCTAAAAGGGGGTAAAAATTTAGATGTGTCTTATACATACACCCGAATGTAGCCCCACCCACTCACTGGCCCCCATCCTTTGGCCTCTGCCTCCCAGCAGTTACCTCCT